CCGCCCGCCATGGGCCTTGAGGGCGGTGGCGGGCGGCGGAAGTCCCGCCCCCCCTCCTCGCGCTTTTCAAATTCCGAAGCGGTGCGTCACGCCGTTCCGTTCAGCCCCGGGGCTAACGTCAGGCGTCGCGACGGTCGGGCCAATCGGCGAGCGCCGCTTCGCCGCGTCCAACCAATAGGCGATGACCGGAGGTGGGCAGAGGCGCCGCCCGGTGGGGAAGGAGAGCTGAGCCAGGCGAGGCGGCGGCGGCGGCACCACCACCACAAAATGGCGGCCGGGTCGGGCAGCGCGGCGGCTGTGGTAGCGGTGGGAGGCAGCGGCCCGGCGGGCCCTCAGGCTGCCGGCGCTACGGCGGCGGGATCCGGTCCGGCGGGGAGCGGTGCGCCGGTGCCGGGTCCTGGGGCTGTGCTGATCGGCGACCGCCTGTACTCGGGGGTACTGATCACGCTGGAGAACTGCCTGCTGCCCGAGCACACGCTGCGCTTCACCCCGTCCATGAGCAGCGGCCTCGACCCCGATACCGAGACCGAGCTGCGCGTCACCGGTTGCGAGCTCATCCAGGCGGCCGGCATCCTGCTTCGTCTCCCGCAGGTGGGGCTGGGCCGCGGCCTAGCCGGTCGGGCCTGGGGACGGGGAGGGGAAAGGCCTCTCGCGGGCGACCGGGGAAGAAGGCCGCGGCGGGGCGGGGCGGCTGCGGGCTCGGGCCTCTGTTTTCCCCGGCGGGGGAGAGCTTTGTTCGGGCGGAGCCGACGCTCGATCGCTAGGCCGCCATCCTCGGTCACGGGTGTGGGGAAGGCCGGGGAGGTTGCCCCTTTTGGCCGGGCTTCGGGACGCGAAAGCCGCGGGGCCTGCGGCCTTCCCCGCCCGGCCGGGAGCAGGAAGCGGGTGATGTAACCGCTTTCCGCCCCCGCTGCCTCCCCGGGCCGGGCGGGGGCTCCCGCAGTGCCTTTCTTTTTTTTTTAATTTGGTAAGATCCGGGTGTGCGGAAAGAAAGACTTCTTGGGACTCCTGCGAATTGCAGCGAGCTCGGGAAGGTTTTGTTTCTTGGCGAACTCCAATCGCAAACAGCCTCGTTGCTTTCCCGAGTGTAAAGCTTCCCAGGCACCTTCTAGCTACCGAATCTCAGCTGCTCAAATTGTGTTATGAGTGTATGCAAATCGTAATACGGTTAGATTCCCCCCCCCCCCCCCCTTCCACGCCGAAAAAGTAAAAGTTTTTCTGGCATACTCTCATAACTTCCAGTTTTATTGGGTTCTAGTGTTTAGGTTGGTTTGTTTTGGTTTGTTTTTTTTTTTATTTATTTTGGAGCATCTTTTCATACTTCATAAAAGAAGTTTGCAATTTAATGTATGTATTTGACTTGCAGACAGTGTGGCATCAATAACATTTTGGGCAACTTAATTTGTTACTGAGGTCGGGGTGCTGGTTTTCTTCAGCTACCACTGAACTTACTCCCGTGCTTCACCATAGCTTGGCTAGTTTTCTGGGTCTTAAATCGGTTGAAATTGTTCTAGGTAATTTCTGTTTGGAACCGGTAGTTGTTTTGTTAATACCTGTTGTGGTTACTTCCTTTTTAGGTGGCTATGGCTACAGGACAGGTGCTATTTCAACGTTTTTTTTATACAAAGTCTTTCGTGAAGCATTCCATGGAGGTAAGAAAATATTAAAAGATGTATATGGCTACAAATGTTATTTAATCTTTGATCTGTTTTGGCAAGTTGTCATCTTAGATGTGAACAGAGTATTAGTAATTAGCCTGTAGATTTTACTTACCAATCAACATGATTTTACAAAGCTACGTAGTACTGATTTTGTCAAATTTTTAGCATTTCCTTGCTTTACCATCATTTTCTCTTGTTATCCCTCCTTAAGCTGTTGGAGGAGATCAGTTCCTGATTTGAGCAAAACATCAGTATCTTGCAATACTTATATTTCAGCATGTGTCAATGGCCTGTGTTCATCTGGCATCCAAAATTGAAGAAGCACCAAGACGCATAAGGGATGTAATTAATGTATTCCATCGCCTTAGACATCTACGGGAAAAAAAGTAAGCTTAGACTTTGAAGTATTTATGTTGGGTTTTAATTATTAAACTTCGTGGGCCAATGATAGTGTCATTCCCTGTTTCATAAATCAGGGCGCATCTTGAAGAGATCTTATGAAGGGGAGAAGTGCCTTGACCCATTTTACTAAGTAAATATTTTTGGTGGTATAAATAGTGATGTCTCTTGTTTTTACACGAATACAACTTTACCTGCATATGAGTACTCTTTGAAGTTATGATTATCTTCTTCAGAATTTGAAATTGTCTTGCAGAAAACCTGTGCCTCTAATACTGGATCAGGAATATGTGAACTTGAAGAATCAAATTATTAAGGCAGAAAGAAGAGTGTTAAAGGAGTTGGGATTTTGTGTTCATGTAAAGCACCCTCATAAGGTTTGTACTGTATAAGTTAACTTTTATAATTGGGTGTTGCACATGCTATAAATGCTTGGAGTAGACTGCCTAACTGCATGGAAGCTGTATGGTTTGTATGTGATAACGCTAGTTAATTTGGTAAAGCTAGCTTCTTATGATCCCAATGTCTTCTTTCTCATTTAAGAGAATCTTACTAGTTGGTCTTGTATCACTGCTGAATGACGACTGGAGGTGGATGCAGATGCTAAGTATTCCTTGAAGTCAAATTATAGAAGTAGGTAGCTTTGGTGTTAGAAAATGTCAACTAAACATAGATTCTTAAGCAGAAAGGAATTTGGAGAACTAGGATTGTGATAGCCTATTATCAGAAACATGGTGTGTCATGATCACTCCTTGTGGAAACATGCTGAGGTTATTAAACCTGTATGAGCTAGTTAGCAGTTTCTTATGTTCTAAGAAGTACACTCAGGTGTGAGGGGCTTCACTAGAAATGAGACAGTTCTCAATAGTTAAGTATCACGTGTCAATGCTAGGATGATACTTGAAAGATGCAAATGTTTAAGTTGGTGCTTTAGTACCATTAGGATTATGCCTTAAGTAGCTAAGTGTGGTAAAAGAACCTCCTACTTCTGTGCCAGCAGAACTTGGGGGTCTTGCTCTTTCTTCCTCTAAAAACTACTGCTGTCTCAAAGTCTTCCTTAGAAGCCTGCTTGACTTTCAGAATTTGCTCATGTTATCAGTACCCCAGAGGACAATTGTACTTGTCTGTTATATGGAATGAATTTTTGCTATTAGAGTAGCTTTTTTTATCTGCATTCTTGTTTTTCTTTCAAACCTAAGAAGACTAGAACTGAATGAACTAGTGACATGCAACAAGTTAGATCTGTTCTCGACAAATACTGTTACACTTCTGTTACTGCTTATTGCAGCTAGCAATATTTTCTCCCAAGTTACAGCTAAAAGGAATCGTGAGTTATATAGGAGAACATACCTAGCTTGAAAACAGTGGAAGACAAGACATCTAGATGAATGGCATGATGCCTGAGCTCAGAAGACGGAGAGCTAGGAAGGTCAGATCTGGTTGAGTGTCCAACTTTTGCATTGGAGAGCAGAAGCTGTGTGGATAAACACTGAGGATGTTGCAAACACTCTCTCATGTGGAGTGTTTTAGAACTTGAAAGAGAATAACAGATGCCTCATGGATGTCCCTCTGAAATAAATAGGTGGCTCTCAAGATTCTTGTTAATAACTCAATAACCCATATCTTCCAGATAATCGTTATGTACCTTCAGGTATTAGAATGTGAACGTAACCAACACCTGGTCCAGACTTCATGGTAAGTTGATTTTCTTTGTTATAAGAGACCAGCAGGGGCAGTAGCAGAAATATGTCACTTGAGGCACTCTGGGCAACATTGCTCAGAAATGATTGTGGGCCATGCCAGACAGTTCCAGTGTTTCTTGGCATGCCCCAAACTGCTACCCAAATGTTGATCGGCCTCTTAAGTTAGAGGCACTGTTTTAATGGTAAGGTAGCTTTCCACCCTGACTTCTCGCTTCCCTCCTCTCTGCTTTCACTTTTCAGCTGAAGGGAAAACGTTGAGTGGGTTATAGTGCTTCCTTGGTTTTTTTGTTCTTCAGAGAAAACTATGTGTAGTTAAAGTCTGTTACCAGTGCTGGGAAATGGCTTTTCCCAGGGCTTGAGCTTGATTACAGGTGTATCAAAAACTCAGCACAGATAAATTTCTTTTATCTATATGGATAATGCAAGATGTCAGCTTCTAAGACTGGATAAACTCAATGTTTTCATGTTTGCCAAGAAATGTCCTCTCCCTTGTCGCTCTCATTACAGTAAAGATTTGCTTGGGGGTGGGAAGCTTATGTAAAATTCCAGGTCTTAAACTGAACAAATAGATAATGCTTTTAAACAATAGTGCTTTTTAACAATATTGTGGTTTAAAAACCTTTAGTGAATCCAAAGCTCATATTTCTGCTGACTGAACTGTCTGGTACTGTGACCTGTGTGTAGAGAACCAGTTTTGACTTTTCTTTTCTGTACTCTTTTAATCAAAGGGTAGCCTCTGAGGGTAAGTGACTAAGACTTCTCCTCTGCTGCCCAAGCGCTATGGTGCAGGGATAGCTGCCGTCTTCAGTCAAACCAAAGCAGGCTCTACAAAGAGAAGGCTGACTCTAGACAGGTGGTATATACATGATAGTATAGTAACTGGCCAACTGCTTCTTGTGCTTATACTTTTTGACTTTTATTTTTATTGTGCATTTTGACTATTGTATATTTTATAACCTGATTGTTGAAGTTCTGAAAGATTTTTAATGTTCTATTGCTATAACTGTTAAAATGATGTATTCTTAAATGATAA